ACTCGGGAACCTGAGAAGCTAGAAGACTGGAATTTTGAAGGGATGTTTCCTGACAGTCCTGGCGGCTAGTCTGATATTCTTTTAGCTAGAAGCATCGGCCGGAAAAACCGGTGCCGTTAACGACAGAAAATGCAAAAAACGCATCTTTGCACGGGTACGTGGAAAGCGGCTTTAAAATTTCACACATGTATATAAGACACCTTCATGAAATTGTGACTTTTTGCTCTGTCTGGTTCCGGAGTTGGCAATTTTCCCGCTATAGTCACGCATTCACACGTGAAATGTAGGTACATGTGGGAGATGAATTTAAAATTTTCTGTCGCATTGTAGGCACGTAAAATCCTCCATAATTTAGCATCGCAGCTTCTGCGGCTTCCGCGTCAATGATTTTGGCGTCAAATCTTTCACGTGATCGTACGTAAGACCTAGACGTACAAAGCCACACGTGGGTGAAAAACATTCTAAAATTTCAGCTTCCTAGCTTTTGCTACTCCCAAGTTCGAAAGCGGAGACAAAATGTAATCGGACACACATATGCAAAAAACAAACACACACACATATACAGGGGGGCAATAACACACATTTTCTACATCTTTTACATAGCACAAAACGTATAGAAAATTAAAAAGACGTAATCTCCTGTGAAAAAGGCCTGGAAATGAGAATGTCGTCATCAAGTGAGGTAACAGTTAACAATGAGAAAAATGACGCCAACGATGACAGTAAATGCCAAACATCATGAAAGTCATAATAACCGAACAATACGCATTCTGCTGCTGATGCTCTGTTCTGCGCTGCCGTCTTCTGCAAGTTCGAATTTGCACATTACCAGAACTGGACAAAATAAAACAAACTATTTTAAGCAGACTTCTGTGAAACATTTTTCCACTGTGAATGACGAATTAATGCATCGACCGCCCGAAGATCTCAACGATCCAAAAATAAAGCAGCTTTGGAGAAATCAAGACACGGAGTGAAAAGATACTGGAACAACAACAGGAATCGGCTATGTAACGTTCATCCACTCACAGCAAAAACAGTACGCACATTTATTTCCGTTACTGAACTGAATTCTCCATCGACGCAGCTAGGAATGCTCAGCGTAACCAAAAGAAGTGATGCGAAAATCAGATTTCGCAAACTGCTCATAACACTCTAAACATTCGAACTCTGTTTTGTATCCGGTTCAATAGCTGTACAGAAGGAATGCTGAATGAAAAATAAATCAGTCAGATGAATTCCACTGGACGACTTGTACGTCTAAATAATCTGACAAAACTGAAAAAGTTCTGCAGGTGCAATTCAGCAGCAGGAAGGATAACAGGATATGGAAGTCAGTGTAGACGATTATACGAAGAAATACATAAGCTACGAGATAAACTCAAAATACTGGTCTCAAATTAGACGCCCACTTCTTTCCTCACAAATATCGGAAATTCTTCAAAAAAAAAAAAAAAAATAAAGCACTGTAATGTTCATTTACCGTCCAATCATTAACGCCTTTCTCGAAAAAGTAGATTGCAGCGAACCAAAACAGAATAGAGGTTACCCCATACACCAAAGCATGATTGGGTATCTTCTCGGCATGAGCAATCTAAAATTAATCAACATAAATACTTTACTTCAGTTCAATTCTTTAGTACCTCAGTCATAAAATTTCGTTTTCAGTTCGCTCATAAAGTGCAACGATCTGTTGTAGAATCGAACCTTCATGGAGACATAATAGATGAAGTAGGCAGCCGCGTTCAAAATGATAATATAAAACGTGAAAACCTCTTTCTGGATATGACCGGTTGCTACGAGAACTGACAGCAAAATATTGAAAAAGATGATGGAGATCAGTAGCAAAGCACTGTAAATATGCTGCTGTGTTGAAAGCATCACTGCATCAATAAGTAAGCGATCTCTTTGCTGTAGTTTCTAGCAAAAGACCTGTCGCACAAAAGCCTCACAAAAGTCTTGCACTTTTTATATCTTAAGGGCACAAATTTTTAATTTGCAGCAGTTCGTGAAACGAACTCCTTCGCTCTGCTTCTGCATTTTGCGAACTTAAAATTACTTTCTAAGTACCGAAGGACTTGCAACAGTTTTCTTACGTCTACTTTCAAGGCAAAAGTAAGAAAGCACTCTAATTCATTTTGATCAAGGAGTGACGGAAGGAGATTCTTTTCTGGACATCCAGGTGATATTATCCAAACAACAACGAGCCTTCCCTCAACAAAATCATTTTTCTGATGCCTCACTGCTACGCACTTTTCTAGCCGCCAAGTTTCATGAGAGCAAAGATGTCACTGTGAATGCTAACAATTTACTCATGGTAAGAAAAATGCAAAAACAGAAGTTTCCTCAATAAAGCGTGCATTAGGGAGCGCCTAACCATGCTAAGCTGAGACCCAAAACGCACAGATTAGAAGACTGAAAGCAAAGGAATGCCAAATTTAGGCAATGAATCCTTTACACTTACAGGCTCGTTACACCATTTACAAAAATCACCTTTTAACTGTTTTACATCTGTATTCTTCAAACGCTAATCGTTGTCTCCAGAAATAATAGAATTGCTCCCACAAAATCTGAATCGAAGCCGTTTCTGCAACACACTAACGGAAGTGAGCACCTTGCAAGAATTGCTGGTGTCCTCCCTAACAACAGCGTCTTAGCTTCAAGCAAACGAGCTCAGACAAGCCGATCCTCCGCACTGTTGTCCATACTTAAAGTGATACCCAACTGCCTAACACTTCGGAGCTCTCGGATCTTCCCATTTCTTCTTTAACACAAATTTTATTGAATTAAATGTCTCTTTGATTTGAATCCCACGCTTCCTCGATTAAATTTTGGGCTTCCTGACTTAACCTATCGTATCAATTCCGGGGCCACAAAGACAATTCCAGTGCCCTTTAGAAGTTATACGAGTGAGCAGTTTTCTCCTTTGCCTTCTCCGAACTTCTAGGCCACGCCATTTACACCGCTCTTCCAATTTCAAATCACAAAGGTAAAAACCTCAAATCAGACAGACTTGATTTTTGAAAGTATTACGAAGCCCCTTATAGGGTAGAGGTCACAGTAACATTTCTTGAGTACCGTAATACATTCGTTGTATTAGAATCGCCCCAAATGCTAAACATTTGCCTTTACCAGCAAATGTTGGCTGCTGTTTCATTATGACACACGAGGAGTTAAAATAAATGCAGCTGTGGCAAAAAATACATGTTGCATCTGCGGTGGGAAACAAAACGAGCAAAATAAGTAACCACTACCGACCATGCAACTACAATAAAGAAAAGGCAAAATTGACGACTAGGATGGAAAGATCTAAGACAGCTTGATACATTTCGGCAATCCACTCTCTTCGATGACTGCAGCAACCACTTCCTGTGCTCGGCAGACATAAATCGCACGAAAGGCCGTGTAGAAATGCGGCAGATCTGCCTTGCCACAGTAATCTCTCCTATCAGACTGACAACGAATCTCTATAAAACCAAGAGAATCACTATGTATCAAGGAAAGAAAAGCTACCGGAAAAGAAGCCATCTCCAAAACATAATTTGCACCACAGTGCACCAAACGCAAACAATCCTGTAGCAGACAAAATCATTTGCCCGATGAGGCTGTTCTGCAACGCCTAAAACAGTAATGCGAATTTCCTGCACCAAATTCGAATGTAAAGATGCGCGTTTTGTCAAATCTCAATTCGAATCGAGGAACACAGTAAAAAACTGTTTTTGAACTCAATTTGCCAAATTGAAACAGTTCCTGTGCATTGAAGTACCCTTGCGAACAGTACGATGGAGCTGTCGGGTCAAAAATGAATGGGGTATAGTGAAAACGCATTAATTCGTCTGGATACTACGCGTAGAATACTCCCCCTTGTGAGATGCACGCTCTGTGAAACTACTCCACTGATTACGGTTTTCGTATCGCATGCAGCATGCATGCCACCTATTTACGGCATCTAAACAGCTCGGTTCGGCTCTGCCGTTGCTCTAATCTCCTCGATATGCTATTTCGCTGGCCAGTTACAATAATTGGCCAACGCACGGGCTGCCCGTGCGAAGATGCGTTTTTCGCATAGCTCCCCGCAGATTTCTGTCGCTATCAGCACTGGTTTCTCTGGCAGATGCTTCTAGCTAAAAGAATTTCAGACTGGCCGCCAGGACTGTCAGGAAAAATCCCTTCAAAATCCCAGACTTCGGGCTTCTGGGATTTTGAAGGGATTTTACCTGACAGTCCTGGCGGCTTACCCGAGTTAGCAAATTACCCGGAAGAAACTTTCAAGGGCCCGTACGCAAGTACCACTCTGACCCGCGGGCGGGATTTGAACTCGTTAATACCTGTTTGGACGGGGAACATTGCTTTACGATTTCAGCGTTCTAGCTTCTCAGACCCCCGAGTTATAAATTTACCGGAAAAATTTCGGCG